AATGGAAAATTTTCTGGAAAGGCCCGAGGAGGGAAATGACCCCCAAATGGTAGACAGTAGCAGCCAGGACGTCCACCCCATGAAGAGAAACATTGAGGGGGGAAGTAACTCCAAGGAAGGATGTGAAATTTTTCCAATTAGTGATAACTCCATGGTGATAGACACTAATCTTGTGTATGTCCGAATTGGTGGCAGCGATGGCCATTTGGGAAAGCGGAAGAGAGGAGTGGAGGACGCGCAATATATGGAGGATATACAGGGGAGATACCAGGAGGGGTCCCACGTGAACTTTATGGAATATTCACCTCATGGTGATGACGACGAAATGGGTGACGCTAGAGGAATCATGCTAATAAGCGGAAGGTGTACAGGAAGAAACCCTCCCCCTGTGAACAGAGGCAAATCTAGCAAGCCTATCCAATTGCAGGAAGACAACTTCGACGAAGAGAACACCCTATTGGAGGATGACGACGGAGAGACCGAACTTTTAATGAGCGGCGACCAGGTAAAAAACATGGTAATGGAGGACTATGAAGACAATTTGTCCGTTCCATCGTCAGCACAAAGTAATTATGGTAAGTATAAAGACGTGGATCCAGATCACCTAATTTATTTATATGAAAATGAAAATGTGGGAGGTTTGAAGAGTACAGAAGAATTAGCGGCGGAAGAAGGGATAGCCGAAGTAACGACAGAGGAAGTAGAAGGAGCAGAAAAAGCAGAAGAAGGTCCTGTTGCCAGATATTTAGATAAACACTATAAGGGACAAATAATCATCGATGGGAAAAACCAAGTGGACGAGCTGTTGCTCGCAACCAGAATGGCCTATTTCGACATGGCTAGCCAAAATAAAGATGGTGCCTCTGAGATGATAAAGCATGATACTTCTGTGGATTTTTTAAAAGCCGATCAGGGTGAGGGAAACGAATCGAGTGTCGACTGTTCCGAGGATGAGGGCTTCGACAGGGATGAATATGTCGAGGAATTTGGCCAATCCTTTGAAGACAGTAGTGTCGATGACGGTGAACAACCTGTTTGCGATCCATTTGTGCCCATTCCGGGTAGCCCTGGAGAAATCGATCAGCAGGAGGGGCAAAACGCAGATGCGCACAACGGAAGTGTGCACGGTGAGGGTGGAAAGAGCGCAAAGGGGTGTGTGGACATCACGAAAGAAACCATCCAGGAGATCATCAGTGACGACTCAGAAGATGGAATGGTGAACAGCAAAACGAACGGGGAGACCAAAAGGGAAACTACCGGAGAGAGCAACAGAGAGACCAACGGAGAGGTTAGCGGAGAGCCCCTTAGCGAAGATATAGCAGCAAATACGATGATGGACAAATCAGCAGAGTGTGTCTTCCCGGAAGAAAAAAATCAATTCAGGAAGCAAAGTAGAATAAGATTAATTGGAGCCCCCGAAAGTGTGAAAGAGGATATATCAATAGAAAAAATAGGGAAATTGATGAAATTACAAGATGATGTATTGACTGTGCATGCATTCAAATGTGAATTCTACTTAAGTGTTTCGTCTGTTTTGTGCCTTCAGAATCGAAAGATAATAGGGTGTATTATTAATGTGAGCTCGAACGAGACAGAGATCTTCTACTACGCCAGCGTGCTCTTCCCAAATGTGAAAAACGAATTAACGCCCAATATAGATATATATGTCGACAAAAAACATGCAGTGTACATGAACGCAGGGGTGAACATCTGCTCGGAATTGTTCAAAGTATTTAAGAACCCAGCTATACCTTTCGTTTTTATTAACTACAAAGATTTGTACAACATTGCCGACTCGCAGTTAGCCGAGAGTAGCAATCAGAACAGAGAAGGGGGAGAAACTAATAAGAGTACAATGAACACTGGCAAACATAATGAACATACCATTTCCGATTGGCTACGTAACGTTGCATCGTCAACCAGAACACAGGAAGGAAAAAATGCAAACAAAACATGGCACAGAAATGTCTCTTCCCAAAATGCTACCCCCTACGATACCCCTAATAAAAATAACAACCATCGAGCGTATGGGAAAATCCACGTTCCCCCCAGATGGAGAGGTGCACGCAATTATGCCAATGTATCCTCTCGACGACCCTCAAATTATAGGTTTAAAAACTTGAGTTACGTAAATTCAGTCCGAGCTCACAAAATGACCAACCTGCATAGTAATGACTCGGCTGGTGTGCGTACGCGTGAGGGAAAAAGTGGTGCCTATGTTGGAGCGCCTATAATGAATGGAAATACCTGTTACGGTGGTGCTAGCAGTATGGGAAGCTCCTACAACCGTGAGCACACCGAGAACTACGGAAGTGGCACTCCCCACGATGTCTCCATTTCCGAGATGCACTGTGGCTACATCACAGACCCCAACGTTACAAAATGTGACGCTATACACTCCAGCGTTACACATTACAACGCTACGCACCCCAAGGCGATTTGCGAGCAGAATGCACACCACCACCCGACATACCCCCCTCCGTTTTTGCCCCCCCAATATAACAAAGAATTTGCAAGCCACGATTACTTCCGGACGACCATGTGTAACCAATTTTACGAAAGGGAAAGTGGCTACCCCGGTGAAGCCACAAATGACACCCATCGTGGGTCCCTCTACCGCATGCACAAGACAAATCACGCGACAAATCGTACGAACAGATACTTATATAACAGAATGAAAAGGGGCCCTCCGTTCAGTAACATTATGATTGCGAACTCAAATGGCCGAGGCTTCTTCGAAACGGAAAAGAAATCATGTGCGCTGCCCCAGCCGTATAACCTACATAGCGATAGACCCCTAGCTAATGTGCACGCCGATTATATGGAGAGTCACAACCATTCACGAAACCCTATTAACAGGAGCAGCTCCCCCAATTTAGAGATTTCTTAATTTGACGCACTATATATTTGTGTCACCTACATGGTGGGCTGGCCCTACCTGGACTAACCCTCCCACTTTGTATCCTTTATTTTTCCATTTCACTGTTTTGTAACTTTTTTTTTTTAAAGTCTTCTTATTTGATATTCACCAAAAGGTACATTTGTATGTACATGGCTGTTTTACTTTTGCGTTCCGCCACTTGGTGGCGTCTCCCATTTGTTCCTCTCCCCATCCACCCCCATCCCTTTTTGTGTTAACACGTGATTTGGCATCACTCACGCCGCCGTTTAAAGCAAACCATTTTTTGCACAATTCGCTTCAAGCTGGAAATACTTCTCACGTCCACACCACAGGTATATATATTTGGAGAGCGCCTAAGATGTCTTCGCAAGCGTAAAGGTAGTTTGCCCCCTCCACAGCAAATTTTCCATGCTGTGTACCAGCACCATAACAGGTTGTTATTTTGCCTCATTTTTCTGTAATTTCTTTTTTTCTTTTTTTTTCCAAAATGTACTCATTGTATGAAAGAATATTCCAGTTAAAAAAACAATATATATGCTAATTGTGATGAGGAACACATTTTAGGAGCGATTTTCCTCTGTGCCATTTTCCATTCCATGGCTGCCACGCCTTGACCAATACGTCCTTCTCTTCTTCGTGTTTATTCGTGCACACGAATAAATATTCACCAGAAGGATGCTAACTTCGTTAGGGCTGTCCCACTTGGTAGTGCCGGGATAATGCAAAATGATGGCGGGTAAGAAGAAGGCATATATATTCACATACGAATTCATAATTATTTACATGCGAGTATTATTCATAACGCGGCATACGGATTAGTAACCCCGCTTGGCGCAGCGCGTAAGGAATATTTTTCGCGTCGACACCGGGGGAGGAAAAGAAAGAAAAAAAAAAAACACAGGACATGACATGACCAGCCCCAAGGGACATTCAACTTTTTCATTTACGCGTACCCCACTTATGGGTACGCTTGTGGATATTTATGTTCCGTTCGAAAAGCTTTTCATCCCTTAACATGGGTCCGTGCCCATGCCGCCTTTCCCTTCGTACCCTGGGCGAATGACCATTGGAGTTGTTTTCCTGCTTCTTCCCTCCAAATTAGATTCCTTCCAATAGGCAGGGACAAAAATTCGCCGGGCATTTTGTAATTTCCCCCCATTCTTATGCGATTCTTTTTTTTCCTTTTAACGACAACGAAATGGATAGCCTATATGGCGATTTACCCCCACCAGTATCAAGTAACAGCAACAAAATTGGGAAAAATAACGACAAAAATAGTTCCAGTGAAGCAGAAAAGAATGACTATATTGAAATAAATAAATTTCTCATCACACCAGCCATTATCCAAAAGAAAATTGCAAACATAAAAAATGTGAATAAAGAAATGCATAGTGATCAAAATGACAGGGAAGATGAGACAGAGAAATATCCCAAGCATAACCATATCGGCGCAGCTGAAGATAGCTGTGACAGTGACATTTACATCGATCGTGATGTAAGACGTAATGAAGAGAGGGCCACCTCAAACGGGGGAAAAAATACTCCCAATGGGGAGAAAACACAGGGAAAGGACGACGCACACATTGAAAAAATAATTAACATAAACAAATCAGTACAGGATGACTTAAAAAAAATCAGTGACAGACTGCACAAAATTCAACGCAGTAATATTCGGCCAGAACAAAATACCTCCACAAATCAACTGAATGGTCAGATAATTCCTGCAAAAGTGGAAATAACTACAAACATCGAAGTGAACATAAAAAAGGGAAAGTTACAAGACCACAACAGTGGCAGTAACAGAAACAACGCAGGTGCAAGGGAACCGGCACCCCCTTCGACTGATCATTTCCAAACCGATCTGTACGAAAAATACTTCATCGCAAACGCGAATGAAGATTATGATCCGAACAAACCAAACGATTTGAACAAAATTATAAAAGAAAGAAAAAGGAAAAAAATAATCATGCTAGCTGCACAGAAGAAAAAGCTAGAAGAGCAACGACATTTGGAAGAAACAAACAAAATGGACAGTAAAAATGAACATAATGAATATGATCGGAAAAAAAATTATTATGGATATGACCAACCAAATGGTGCCACTGCTGCAAGTAAATTCCCATTCGATTCTGATCATAACAACAGGAGTTACACAAATAGTGGAATGCCACTACTACATGATGAGGAGAAAGAGCGGAATAGAGGTAGCCTATATAACCACTACGACGTAAGCGGAAGGAACTTTTCTGCGAGGGGGGAATACAACCCCAGGGAGCGGACCGAAAGGGACAAACCTTCATATGACGATAAAGAATATGAGAAGGAAAGCAAAACGAGTGATAAATTTTACGAAATTGCTAATCGGACGAAATTATCCGATCCAAGTAATGATGATTACACCAAGAAAAACAAAGAAGTAACAAATGACACAAGTGAAGTAGCAGCTCCAGTCAAAAAAGATTTTGCTACAAGGATGATGGAAAAAATGGGATGGAAAAAGGGAGAAGGGCTGGGAAAAGACAAGCAAGGTATTACGGCCCCCCTAATTCTGCAAAAGGTCGACAAGAGAAGTGGTGTAATCGTGCAGGCACCTGATATTTTAAAAAAACATAAATCCAGTGATAGTCAGGACGACAATAATGATGATGGCAATACCCTTTCAAAATCGAATGCAAACTTAGCACATTCTAATCATGGTCTAAGTAATAACACGTCTAGGATTATTCGCCTATCCAATCTCGTCACGAAAGGCGAAGTTGACGAGACACTGAAGGAAGAAATAGAAGAGGAAGCCTCGAAATTTGGAAACCTCCTAAACATAAATATTGCCATTGATAATAACTTAACTGATGCCTATGCCGTTAAAATATTTTGTGAGTACGAATCGAATGATCAGGCGCAGAATGCTTTGAACACATTTAAGGGTAGAACCTTCGCCGGCAGGAAAGTCGAGGCTATCTTTGCCACCGAGGAGGAGTACCTCTCCTATGGAAAAGCCTCCTAAGCAGCCAACGCAGAACGGTGGCGCAAAGGGCAAAAAGCGGAGATAGCTGGGTGGTTGCACTCCCAGGGAAGAAAAAAGAAAAACAAGAAAAAAAAAACCTTGGTGAAATTGGCCTATCTGTACACAAAAAATGTGGCCAGCCTTCGTGCGCTTACATTTTGCTACGAAGTGGAGATAGGCGGCCCCATGGATGATTCCTCCACGAGCCCACCTTAATTTTTTTTTTTTTTTAGTAATACTCAATCATATTGTCATTTGTGTGGGGAAGACCTCCCCTCCCCCCCAATATGCACATTTCAAATTGGGCGAACCATATTTTGCCCTTCCCAAATTTGTACACAACTTTTGTTTCCCACGTGGTTACATTTTGATCACTCGGAATTCCCTATAAAAAAAATGCCCCATTTTTTCTGTCACAAAAAGAATCTCTGTATAATTCGCAAACAATTTGTAGCTTCTTCCACATCAGGTTGGATTTTCTACAGGGACAAAATGCCCCTCCACAGCGGCCCCTCCCCGATTTGTGCATTCCCCGTCGCACAGAAAAATGATCAACAAAAATTGCAGTATCTTCTGCGTACGTCCCAAAGTTCATAACAAGTTATAGTAACAAAGTTGTTTTTCTTTTTCGTTAGAAAGAGAATACGACTGTGGTTAGAGGAGGAGAGAGGTCCTGTCGACTCGCTCCACCCCCATGACGAGCAGAAATGCCTTGAGGAACATCGTCTTGGCTGACCTAAGTAGGAACTTCACTACATCGGATGGCATTAAATATGGCGCCGATTTTGTGGTGTACAGGGGTAGGTTTTAGTGGCCCAGTGGACTTGTATGTTAATGGGTAGGCGTCTCCGCGTCTGCGAAGCTATGCAATGATGCGGTGAAGTTAGGAGAAGTGATGCGAAGCGAAGCGCACCCCCCATGGTGGAAGCTCTCTCGGCACCATTTCACATTATCCACCCTTTTGTTGCCCATTCAGGGGACATGGACGCGGAACACGGATTCTCACTCGTGTTCATAAAGGAGGAAAACATACCCCTAAGTGATAAGGACAAAACGATCATTTGCAGGATATGCGAGAGTGTTAAAAAGAAGGTATGACATTAGCTGCTCTGTACTGCGAAAGCAAGTGGAAACCCCCTCATCCTGTCTCCCTAAGTTGGGGTCATCAAATTACAGTGGCGATGGCGCTCATCATCCCGCTTCATTCTGGTGACATCCCCATTTTGCTGCCTCCTTCACAGGGAATAATTGCATATGTGAATGGAAATACTAAAGAAATTAAGTACGAGGAAATTTTTAGAAAAACGGAAGGATCCTCTGGTTGATGTGCCCAGTGCGCAGAGGTAGGGAAGGAGTCAGACGTGTCATAATTCTCCCATTTGGGATAGCCGCCTACAAAAGTAAACTCTTTGCGGGGCACACTTCCTCCCATCGGCGCGGACCACATTTATGTCAACCACGTAACATTTTGTTTATGCCCCATCCGGGAGAGTAACCGAAGAGGACTCCCCTTTTTGGATTCATTAAATGGGGGGTTAAAGAAGAAAGAATCAAATTTTGTTATCACATCATTTCGTACCGTACCATACAGTATGCACAACCCTTTTAAAAAAAAAAAAACGTAAAACATTAGCAGTTTTTGTTATCGGAAAGTGGAGGGCTGCGTGATCTACACTGTCCATATATACGCTCGTGGAGAAATTAAAAAAATGAGCTGCTACAGATAAGTGTGAAATGTGTCTATGTGTGTGTGCATATGGACGGGGCGCGCGGGGAAGACTCTGCTGGAACGCTCGCTGAGAAGCACAGCTGTGCACATAACGCTGTGTAAGGCGATTCCTCAATGGGTGGATTTTTCACTGGGTAGGCTTTCCCTGTGGAAACCCCCCTGCTTCGCGTCGCCTCTTCTGGCTCTGCTCCACTGCGGTTCTCTTCACTACGCGTTCAAGTTGAACGTCACCAGCGACTTGTCGACGATGGAGAAGTTGAGCCGGGTGAGGAGAGCGGCGGTGTTCCTATTAATGAGCGTTAGCTGCACGGGCAAGGCGTTGTCCATAAGGGAGAGCTGGATGAGCAGAATGTAAATCATCAGCTTGCACTTGAGTTTGTCCGACGCGATAAAATTCTGCTCCTTCTTTAGCAGGAAGGTTTCCAAAAAACGGCGCCGAAAGTTTGCGGGGAAATAGCTCTTCCCCTGGGAGGTCAACTTTCTGTATCGTTCGAATTCTACTTTGCTATTTTTGTGAAGAAGGAATCTGCCCAACTTCTCCGCATTGAAGAAGATCGAATGCTGTGTTGTTGCAAAACAGAGGTAGGCATTCAGGACGGCAAACACCATAGCCAACTGCGAATTGGTTAATCTCTTTTTAATGGAATAGGATTCATTTTTTACAAAATGCTCCATGGTTTTTAAGCAAGTAGGATGCATTTCATCTTTTACGCTTTCCATTTTGATCAGCCCACTCAGTAGATTCTGGAAGAGGGTCCTTTCAAAATTTTCGTTAAAGTTGGCTAGCAAAATATTTGATAAATCAAACGAACTTAGAATACTTTTTGCATTTTTTACATAAACGGGGAGATAAAAATCGGGGAAATTTTCGTTCTCTTCTTCCTTCACCACATCGACATGATTGTTCTTCGCCTTTCGGAGCATTTTCTTTTGGGAAGTAAAATCTTTCTGTGCGTCCTGGACATGCTGATCATCCTTATCAGGCAAGGTATTTTTAATCTGTTCTTTGAAATTCTTAATTTGAATAATATTTAGTATGTACAGAAATTTTGGATAAATGTAGAGCAGATAGTACAGCAGCACCGTTCTGTATCTGCAAATCATATCGTCTATATTTTTTTTCCTTTCTCCTTGGAAGGATTCCTTCGCTTCATCATTCGGATGGCATTCCAACCAGCGGTAATTCATCAAGTAGTCATTAATTCTGCATTTTACTTGCTCCCCTGTCATTCTTCTCGTGTCCATAAAGCACGTGCTACTTAGAATATCACTTTGGATGCACTTCATCACATTTTGGTATAGCTCATTCAAGTTTTGATGTATATTTTTCAGCACATATTCCTTGGTTGGGTCGTAATGCCCATAGTGCTTACTCAGCTGGATGTTCAGGGAAACATCATAGACATTCTGATAATACAGGTTTATTATTATTCCGTAGAGGTACTCCTTGATTGATCTCAGGTGGTTTTTTTTAAAAAAGCTGTTAACGTACATGTTGCTATAGTTTTGAATTTTGAACTGCAGTTTGTTCATCCACTTGTGAGAATATATTTCGTTCCTGATGAAGTTCCAGTAGAATTCTCTTTTTTTCTCCTCCTTCGAGTTTACAATGTAGGCAGTTAATTCTGCGTAGTTGTAAATATCAATTTTGTACTTCTCCTCCTGCACGTTTTCCTCAATCACGACGATGTATTCGGTGACGGTGTTGTTCTTCTTCGCCCCGGCGCTATCGGTTTGGCCGCTATTTATGTAGCACGCTTGGTTCTTTCCCAAACCTTTGTTGCTTAACCAATCGTTGACAGCGTTTATCCTCACCTCCTTCTTCTTAATCTTACTCTTAAGATTTTGAAACTCCGTGTAGCTTTTCTTCATCTCTGGAGTTATCTGGTTCTTCAAATAACTGATTGTATTTTTGTATGCCTTTACATACTCTCCATTATTTACGCAGTACACGTCTAGGTTCCTATTTGCAATGTCGTTAACATTTATTTTAAACCCTATGCACTTGGAGTTAATCAGAGGATGCACAATTATGTTCTTCTTTAGATCCTCCACTCTACACCTTTCCAGTGTTACGTTTTCGTTCCTGTATCCAATTTCGCTTCCGCTTCGATGTGTTTTCCCCTTCAAATAGTTCATCAGCAGTTTTTCCTTTCCGTGGCTACACAGCATATCTTCATCACTGTCATCGCTATTCACGACGATAGCCACTTCTTCGTTTATTTTGTTTAAGTACCTCTCGAATGCTCCCAAACTGTTGCACTCTTCGTCTCCCTGAGGTAAGCGCTTGTCTTGAGAGAAACCCCCCTTTGTGCGGACGCACCCCATGTAGTGGTAATTGGACAGGGTGTTGTTTTGCCAAGCGCCATCCTCTATGTAGCGGTCATCAATATCACTAATCTGTTTCACATTGAGGTACTTTTGCTGAAGCTCCTTCATGGCGCTTTGCTGCACCTTCTTGTACTTAACCTGCATCATGAAATTTGTACCAGTTTTATAAGTGGGCTCTTTAACAAACCCGCTGGCCGAATCAACTAGCATGAAGTCATCAGAGTCTGAATTGTGATCATCCACGTTGAGCAGTTCTATCTCTTTTTTCTTGGACGACCGGAAATTGCTCCTACTGGGCGCGTTGTACGTACGTGAGTACAGCACATTATAGAAGGAGTGAAAAAGCTTATCGAAAAAAATACTCGAATTGTTTTCATCCTTAATGATGTTACTTTTTAAAATATCATAGAAGGAATCCCTTAGGGAAAGGCGATCCCCTTTGTAAGTCATACTGTTCGTACTGACGTTGCCCGTTCTACTTGAAGTGTTGCTATTACGTTCGTCAAAATATCTTTTAATCTTTTTTAAATTCAAAAAGTTTTTATGCTTATATTTGTTAAAAATGACATACAGTAAGTTGTACCCCTTACTTCCATCCTTAATCCTCTGCAATAAATCGTTAAACCTGTTCTTCAAATAATTCTCATGAAGCACATCACAGAAAATGTCATTTTTGGACAACATGTAAATGTGTTTATCCGGATGAAAATGAATATCATAATTCACATTAACTGTTTTTCTTTTCTCCTTTTTGTTCACAAGAAGGTGCGTCAGAAGATTCCTCTCCTTGAAGGCCATCACATTGTGGTTATTCAAAACGGACGAATAATTCAAGTTCTCATAAATGGTTACATAAAACAGCATCTTCATTTTTTCCTTGCACACTTTACACTCTTTGCTGTACTTTCCTGATGAAGCATTCCCACTACATTCATGCGAGACAAATAACTTCTTCACATTTTCCACGCTCAAATTGTTGTATTGATTTTTCTTCTTAACTAATTTTTCCAAAAAAATATCATGGTTTTTGTAAAAATGCTTCAACATGTTATGTCTCACAATTCTATACAGCATCCTTTTTTTCTTCTTCTCGATGTAACCTTTATTGTTCATGTAGCACCTCCACAGGTAAAGCTTATTAAAGAGGGTCTTCATTTTGTTTCTATCTACATCGTCCCCATATTTTTTTAAGAAACTAATTTGGAGATTTTTTTTTTCCCTATTTTTGGCGACCTTTACAATTTTGATCAGGTCCCTCAGATAGAGGGGGTACCTGTTAAGTAGGTTGATTCTTCTTTTTTCGCATTTTCTCACAACGTTGTCTTTTCTTTCCCTTTTGGCCCACCTGCGGGTTGCTCTATGGCGGTCCCTCATTATGGCACTTGGCAGAGGGTCCATTTCATTCGTGTTTTCCACGCTTCCGCAGATTTTGGAAAGCTTATCACTTCTGTTTTTCTTCTTTAGGGGTCTCCCCTCGATAAGGATTTCCTCCTCACTTGACGTGTAGATCTCACTATCTTCATCATAGTCAAACAGAAATTTGTTATTATAAATGAGCAACTTTTTATTTATCAGATCGTACAGCAGACTCTTGTTTCCCTCTCCGTTTTGTGGCTCCTCACCCTTGACGTTGCTTTTGCCTCCCTTACTTCTTTTCCCTGGCGATGTGTTACCCTTTGCAGGATTTCCTACCTTTCTGCCGTTACTCACTTTTCTTCCCAACAAAATGTCGTTTATTTCTTTATATGCGAGCAAGTACCTCGTAATGATATTCAAACACTTATCATAGAGGACGTCAAAATTGCAACTCCTGCCCCCTTCACTGATAAAGAAGGATTCAAGGTGATTTCGGATGGCATCCTTGGACTGGTTCCTCTTTCTTATTATGTCTTCCTTCAGCAGTTTCAAATCTTTCAAGTGCCTCTTTAATATTTCCGAGTTGTACGTATTCTCATCGTCTACGAAGTTTATGTTGTGTCTGTTTAGCGAACTCCTCAGCGCCACCAAGACGACGCGATTGGCGGGGGTGCTCAACGAGTTTTCCATCTTGAGTTCCTCACGTGTGAAGCCTAAACGCACTTTTTGTTGCAACCAGGGGATATTTACAACTGGGAAATGTTCTCTATCCCGGGGGGGAAGTAATTATATTCCCTACTGCGCAGAAACCAGTGCTGCAACTTTTCCCACCACTGAAAATCACACGTGCCGCAATTCTCAGCCCAATTCGGACCTTCTACAAATTTCTACTTGTGCGATGTTTTACTTGGCTCTTGTTTATCCCCCACCTGGCATGGTCGCGCTTGAAGCATCACGATACGTTAACGCCGACGTTAATTTGATGCTTTTTCTTTCTTTTTTTTTTTTTACTTTTTACTCCCCCTTTTTGACTTTTGTACGGATTACTTTTCTTCCGGCAAATTTGCCGTTACTCTATTCTCCTTACAAACCTCAAGGGGTGGGGGGTACTATATGCCTATTCCTCCCAAATAAATTGTCATGCTTGAAAAAATATTATTTACAAAAACAACTTTCATGTATAGCGTATCGTTCACTCGCATTTGAAATGCGCTTTAAAGTATTTGCAGAAGAATTAATGGCAGGTATATTGTCCCTTTTTCAGATTATTAAAACTTTTTTTTTTTTTTTTTGGAACAACCCTTTTTGGAACCTTTTTTTTGGCTGCCTCAAATATCATATGACATATTGGACAAAATTGTAGGCAACATGTTATATCAGGGCGCAAAACAGGGTAGTAAAAAATGATGAGGTCAAGGTGCAGCCAAAATGCTGCGCTGCAATACGCGACTCTGTCATGGTGAGAGGAAAATACGCCTCCTCAGCTTTTTTTTTTTGGTGCATTTTGTTGATAACTTTTTTTTTTCTTCTCACGGCGAATTGGAAATACCGTTTTGTGGATGAGAAACGGTTTTGCCAATTTTTCAAATTTACCAGAAAATTAATTCGAAAAAGGTTTTGTCCTTTTCCCCCTTTTGGCATAAAAAACCACATCGTTAAAGAGGGTAACCCCATAGGTATATATTATAGTACGTATATATTAGCAACCTTCTACTCGCAATGTCGTGTCGACAGGGCTGCGCATCTCACATGTTCCATTCGGCTGACAAGTCCCCTTTTGGTGGAAGTATTTTTCTCCCACGCAGAGAATCTTGGCAATTGTTTTATCCGCCATTTCTCCAAAGGGGAGAACTGGTTCACTCTCTTTAAATCGAAAAATGCTAAATTTTAATTTCATGGCGCTGTATTGCACATTCATATGATTGGAACTACCATATTATGGATGTTTTCTTTTTATTTAATGTGGTGCGGATGTTAAGAGCACGTGACCAACTTGTCCAGTAAGAGTGCCCCATTTAGTAATGAAAAAAGTTTTTCCATTTTAATTTCCCCCCCATGAGAGCAAAGCAATTTTTTAAAACATACTCAACGTATAAGTAAACAATTCGGTATAGTACAGGGTTAAAAAAAAATTGGGAAGAAATATTTACAAAGGTTTTGCCATCCCTTACGTGTGGGGGTTGTCTTTTTGCATAGTGAATCATCGAAATGGGTACCACCTCGAGGAGCTCTCGCAAAATGTCCACTCTTATCCACCCGCGTGCAACTTGCTAATGCGTTAGTTATAACCTGGTTGCGACCTCCGTTCGGGCGACACGTTCATAAGTCACCCCTTTGTTTGCGTTGCTGTATTCGCCGCCTTGCTGCTCTTCTCTTTCCTTTTCTTCGCTTTTTTTTTAAATTTAAAATTGAGAAAAACAAAGCAGACACAATTTTAAAGCGTGGCACTGCACACGCAGTAATAACAAATTGAGGTTTTCCAATTTCGGAAGGATGGGGGCAGCGCCCGTTCTTCATTATCGCCACCCCACCCCAAAATGTTGGAAGCTTCCCAAATGTATGCGCCATTCGAATTCTATTAGCCTTTATGCACCTCCCCGTAACAATGTTCTGAAAATTAAAGTGGCAGGAAAATTACGCCCCATGTTAGGCTATTCATGTGTGTCGAAATGGACAAAATGGTTGCGAAAATAAAATAAAATTGGGGTAACATATCATGGCAAAATGGGAAATTATAAGAAAGTTACATTTAAAAAAAAAAAAAAAAGAAAGGAAGTTTCCATTTAGGTACATCACAAAGCACAACTCTTAATAGTTACACTCATTTGGGGTTCTTTTCTACGAACAAATTTTTTTTTTTTTTCTTTTTTTTTATTCGCCCCCCCCCTTCCATAGTATAACTACAAAAAGGCCATTCTTCCTTTCTGTTATAAGAAAATCAAATTGTTTCTTTTTTACTTACATATATGAGTGTAGTGGCCCGCTAAAACGTCAACCCATTTTATGTGTCGCCACTCCAGTGAGCATTTCAAAATATGACCAGGACTGTCGATACTAATCCAAAGTTACCTATGCCGAGTGGAGAGAAAGAACACATTCCAATTACCTCCCTGCAGATAGAAAAGCAAAACAGCACTCGTAATAATACTTATACACAAAAAAGACATGTAAATTATTTACTCGAAATAAAGAACAACAATACAAAGATACAAAAACCTTCCTCACATAAGAAGGAGCCCCCAAGTGAGAAGAGCATCTTATCACTTAGCAAAAATGCACGCACCATAATTTGCAATGTTAGTAAAAACGAAATTCACGTCAAAGATGAGAAACAAATAAGCGAAGCACACTATCGACATGTGCATAATAACACTCTTCAAATGTTGACTAAGCAACAGGGAAAAAGGACCGTCTGCACACTGATCCATATAAATAAAGTGAAAAACTGTAAGGTGTGCCCCATGGGTATTATAAAAAAAGATCAGGTAAATGGGAATTTACGGGGAGTCGAGGCCCGAGCGAGCTTCGGAAAAAGCAGCTGCAGTACCGCCGTGTCCAGTATGCTAAAGAATGCAACAATGAAAAGGGGCAACGGTAAAAAGGGGGGACACAAAAATGGGATTCACGCCATGCATAAATGCGGAACTCAAGCCGAAAGTAAAAATAGACACCGCAATGAGCGAAAAAATGCGACGGTTGCAACAGCGTACATGAAAGGCCCCCAGCGAGACACCCATTTACAGCCATCGGCAAGGGGAGTTATCCCTCCCACAACCTGCACAATTTTAAAAAGTAAAATGAGAAGAAATTCACCAAAGGGGGGCCTAACCCTTCATTCTAAGGAAGAAATAAAGGGGAAAAACCAATTCTATAGGAAATGCCAAATTGAGAAGGAGAAAAAATGCATATTATTATCTGACCAGGTCAGGAAAACAGAAAAAGGTCACCCATATGGTGGATCCCGAAATGAAGAAAAACAGGGAACATCCAGCAAGGGCGCGGCGAGGGGAGAGGAATGCCAAATGTTATCTGACGAAAAAGTGAAAAATGTAAAAAGTTGCACACTTAAGGGGGGGAAACACCAATGTGGGACAAAAGAAGGCACACAAAATGTGTTCATTAAGAAAATTGTAGAGGCAAACAGCGCCGAGGCAGCGGAATCTGTGAGCATAAATGGGGAACCCCCCCACCCCACTAATAGCATAAAGAGATGCAAAGTCAGAACCATTTTGTTGAATAAAACATGGCTGCAAGAAGAGGCTATCACGAAATTGGTGTCTCTCCAAGTGGAGGGTGAAAGAAGAGGCATCCGTTGTGGGGAGAACTCCACCGGGGAGTTATCCAATGAAAATAATTCTGGTGAGGAACAGCCCATGAAGGAGCCACCCCACCTCCCAAGCGCACAGAAAACAGAACGGAAAAACCAGAAGACGGAGGGGAGGGAACACCCACATAGGTACAAAATTATAGCAGTGAAGATGAAAAAGAGCAAAGAACTGAGAAAAGACTACATAATAACAAGCCAAATTGGGAAGGGGACGTTCGGAAAAGTCTGTCTAGGAATTCACATACACACACACGAAATAGTGGCAATAAAAATCTTAAACAAAAAAAGGTTACAACGATTAATCAGTTATGAAAAAATAATGAAGGAAATAAAAATACATGAACAGATGGACCATAATCACATATGTAAATTATATGAAGCATATGAAGATGGAAAAAATATATATATGATATTAGAGTATGTTCCCAACGGAGATTTATTGGCATATGTCTATAAAAGAAAGAGAAGAATAAATGAAGATACAGCGAGGAGAATCTTCTACCAGTTAATCAGTGCAGTGGATTATTTACACAAATTTAATGTTGTTCATAGGGATTTGAAACCAGAAAATATTTTACTGGATGATGATGAAAATATAAAGTTAATCGATTTTGGTCTCTCCACTGTGTATGAAAAAAATAATCTCTTAACAACATCATGTGGGTCCCCATTTTATACCTCTCCAGAAATATTAATGGGAAATAAATATCATGGAGAATTAACGGATGTATGGTCCCTGGGCGTTATCCTTTTTTTATTACTCAATCACAAGCTGCCATTTAATCATACCAATTTGAATGTACTTTTCCAGGAAATTATAAAAGGTCTACTCCATTTCGAACCGCACATTTCAGAAGGCGCAAAAAATTTAATTCGAAATATGCTCAATGTAAATTACCAGAAGAGATATTCCCTGAGGGATGTAAAAACACATCCATGGTTTAACTCATGCCATATGAAGAAAAAAAATCTCACAAAATTGTGTCATGACAACTGTGACTTAATTTGCTGTAATGTATGTTCATACAAAATTATCATTCTGAGTAGTACCCAGTGGATGCGCTTAATTTTAAATAAAATTGGAAAAATTTATTCCATTGGAGTGGACAGAGTTTGTCGTCAATTACGAGAAAAGGGGAAAAACTCTGTCAAAACAAGTTTTTATCTTTTGCTAAATAAAACCATTCGAATGGTATCCACAAATAGTTCTTTATGTTCCCATCTTGTCGTAGTCACACGCCTGTCTGTGCGTCATGAGGGTGAAAATTGTCCCCCCATACACCATGCAACGCTCTCTTCTTCACATGCGTGCGCCGGTACCTACACATAGCAAATGCCGTTTCGGAATTATCAACCCGTTTAAGGAACATTTCTTCTTTTAACTGTTTGGAAGCTACCTCCACATAGAGTAAAACCCATTTGGGGAAAGTTTCCACCCCAAGGGAGAAGCCACAAAAAAAAAAAAATAGGAGAAAAAAAAGAAAAAAAAATTCACCGCTTAAGACATAACTCAGTTGGGGAGAACACGAATACAGTACACATCCCCCCCAGAAGGGTCATCCATGAGGTGCCTTAGGAAATACTATTACCGCATGGAGAAGCGGTGAGAAAAAACACTTTTACCTGTCCTGTCAGTCAAACGGGTAACAACAAAATATAACAGTGTGGCCCCAGAATAGATAACACCTTCAATAGTGAAACCAACTATAGGGAAAGAAGATAGATCATTTCCATCCCTCGGGGGGAAGGGGGGTGAAATTATTCATCGGTTGGGCTCAAGAGATATGCACATGGAGCGTTAAAAACCCATACACTTTTTCCTCTTTTTAGATAATAATTTTCCGAAGTGCGATCTGATCGTACATGTAGGTGCATAGGTCCATGCGAACGCAGAAAGGTACATGTGCCACAACATGATGAACTTCTTTCGTGATATGAGGAGGAAATGACAACTTTACTCCACCTTGGCCGCTAATACATGAAAATATTTCCCTAAAGTTGTGCTGCTAACATAGGGTATAAAAACACCCCGATAAGAATGTAGCAGCTACGAAAGATATGGCCCCATCATACTTGCGAAAGATTAAAGCAGCGGGCATCCTGGATGTGGTTCAAAATTTTATCCAAACCGATTATTCTGTGAGTCTCCAAGTTATGCAATAAAGGTTTTCGGCCGCATTTATCCCCCTTCTATGATGTGCTATGATTAACATAGTACTCTTTCCTGGTGCCCCATTACGATGGTACTTTTTCTTTTTTTTTTTTTTGTCAGAACAGAGAGTTTTATTATTACCCTTCCATTTTGTACACTTGCGTATATGCCAATTTTGCCCAAATTGTGTAGAGCAATCAATACGAACGTGCGTGCGGTCACATCACCGGTTGATGCTCATCTGATTTGGGGCACTGCTTTCATATCTTCCTAACCTTTTCCGAAAAAAGGAAGCAACGAGAGGGACGGTCACTTTAACGGCCCCACACAGGAGTGAAAGTTAATCCCAATTTTGCAGCACTAGTGGTTTAGTGAATTTACATGGCGTTGTATGCGTCTCGAAGTGCAACAATTACAATTTGATAGAAAGATGAAGTGCACGGAGCAGTTGTACTGGCACATGCATATAAAATATATATGTTATGTGTACATGTATGTAATATATATATCTATGTATGGTGGGGTGCCCCCTTTAGGAATTCGAACTACAGAGGAGGGTTCGAATCGATGGGATGTAGTATATAGAAGCCGCCGCCCCCCAAGGGTTCTTCCGCAGATGCACCCGTATGTGGGGAAAAAGTGAAGGAGGAAGAAGCGTACCATACTATATGGCACTTTTCCTTTTTATTATTGCTTATTAAAAATGTCGAGAATCAAATAATCGTTTTTTTTTTTTTTTCTTTTCTCGCCGGCGTTACACCACGCGGTTACTGCAGGTTAGTAATTAAAGTTATGCAACATACTGTATATATATAAATATTGCCACAGGCATTTACTATAATTGCATAAATGAATGTATATATCTCTGTTTTTAGCCATTCGTTACGTTTTTTTTCTTTGCTACTTACTGGCATTCTTGAACGTTTTTTTTCCCCCTCTATTTTTTTCGCTATTTTTTTCGACCACTTTTTAATTTTTTTCAACCATTTTTTATTTGTTTTTTTTCTTTTACAATCTTGTTTTATATAGTTATATATTCACCTGCGCGTAAGTACATCTATGCATGTACAGAATCCGTACGTGCTTAGATGCCATACGTATATTAATCTGCATGGTACTACATATATTTTCCGCGCCCAGGTCGGCCAGAGTGAACTGTATATACCGAAGCGGCGCTTGGCTTAGCTTAGCCTAGCGTAGCCTAGCTTAGCCTTTTAAAGAGTCACCTCGGCAACTTTTTGTGCGGCACGTTTTTTCCAAAATTTACGTCAACACGTTTTATGTGCATTGCAGCAGCGTTGCTCGCACAGGCGTGACATATGGTTATTCAGGGGGTGGCATTGGGGCAACCAACCGGTTAAGCTACCAAGCGGTTGAGCTACTAATCAGTTAAGCTTCTCCGTACGGGGCACCCCCCTCCCCCCCACCTTCACATACACCTCCCACCCAGCGACCGCTGACCAAACCGGGGCACCAACTGGTGCACGGCACCTTCACATCCACCCCCCACTTCTCGTCACCCACCCCTTCTACCAAATATGCGTGTGAATTCCCTCTTCTACACGCTTTCTTCTTTAATGGTATTCCATTTAAACTTCTTTTACAAAGGGAAAAGGGTTAACTACGTTTCTGCGTACATCAGTTCGATACACAAGTACACCAATTACGGCCACGGAAGCAGTAACGCAGGCGGCAACGTAGGCGGCATCGTAAGCGGCAACCGAGGAAGCGACGGAAGCAGCAACGGAAGCAGCAACGGAAGCAGCAACGGATGCCACAACAACCCTAGTCACGTCGGGAAGCACAAAATAGACGCGAAGGGAGATTCGAACAGGTCAGTCGCCTCGTACTTCAAGAAAAAGTTCCCTCAGATTTATGAGCACAACGGTGAAGGTATCTCCAGCGCGGCAGGAGACTCCAGGCAGGCGAGCGCGAGGAAGGACCCAGAAAGGACCTCGCAACTGCAGCAGCAGAGAGAGGAGCCCCCGAAGCAATCACAACAGAGTGACGATCAACGAGGAGATAGAGAAACCATGGCAGTCCCCATCGAAGAGAGACTCGCAAGTCTGAAGAAAGTAATGCAGGAAAACAACATCGATGTGTACATCCTAATAAATAGCGATGAACACAACTCAGAAATTATAAACGACAAGGACAAAAAAATATATTATTTGAGCAACTACAGTGGAGCCGACGGTATCTTAATACTGACTAAGGACAAGCAAATTATATACGTGAATGCACTATACGAATTACAGGCGAACAGAGAATTAAACCACGACATTTTCTCCCTCCGAATTCGAAGAATTAGCAACCCAGATGAAATATACGAAACAATTGCATCTCTTGAATTTAAGAATATTGCCGTCGATGGTAAAAACACCAGTGTCGCTTTCTATGAAAAGTTAAAGAAGAAAATAGAGTCTACTTATCCAGACAAAACAGTGGAAGAAAAAGTGATTTACCAAAATGATATGAACAAAATTGTAAAAAATGAAAATATCAACTTCCTAATTTTAGAAAAGTCCCTAGTAGAATTACAAAACTATGAAGTGAATAACAAGCTGGTGTTTATACATGACAGAAAATATAACGGTGCATGTTCCGGTCAGAAATTAGAAGAATTAAGACAAATATATGCCTTTGAAACTACAAATGTGGATAGGTTATTACTCTCCGAGTTAGATGAAATTGCTTATATTTTAAACCTACGTGGATTTGACTACACCTTTTCTCCTCTCTTCTATGCCTACCTCTACTTCGAGTACAATAGGGAAAAGGACGATTTTGAAAAAATGATTTTATTCACTGTATCGAAGAACCTATCCGAGAGTTCCATCAGACACCTCAACACAGTTAACGTGACTGTCAAGGAGTACGAAACGGTGGTGGAATACCTAAGGGACAACGTCTCGTCGAAAACGATGGCACTCACTAAGGCAGGCAAAGACACAAGCGTAGTTCATACACTCCCCACCAAGGAAGTCACCAAAAAAGAATCTGATTCGCAGAAAAAATACGAAATTTCTCTGAGCCCATATATCAACCTGATGATCTACATGCTTTTTGATAAGGACAAAATATTGCTGGAAAAATCTCCCGTTCTTCACATGAAGGCAGTTAAAAACGACGTCGAAATAGAGAACATGAAAGAGGCACATGTGCTGGATGCATTGGCACTTCTACAATTCTTTCACTGGTGTGATGAGAAGAGAAAAACCAAAGAGTTATTTAACGAAACGGAAATGTCGTTAAAGAATAAAGTGGATTACTTCAGATCCACCAAACCAAACTTTATCTTCCCCTCCTTTGCAACGATTTCGGCCAGCGGACCAAATGCTGCAGTCATTCACTACGAAGTTACTGAATCAACAAATTCGAAGATTACGCCAAGTATTTTTCTCCTTGATTCCGGAGGACAATACTTACACGGAACCACCGATGTAACTAGAACCACGCACTTTGGAGAACCCACAGCAGAAGAAAAGAAGATCTACACCCTAGTACTTAAAGGACACCTTCATTTAAGAAAAGTCATATTTGCCAACTACACGAATTCTATGGCCTTAGATTTTATTGCACGTGAAAATTTATTCAAACACTTCCTCGATTATAATCACGGAACTGGACATGGAGTAGGGTTATTCTTAAACGTCCATGAAGGTGGGTGTTCCATCTCACCAACAGCTGGCACTCCACTGAAACCTGCTATGGTACTTTCTAATGAACCTGGATACTACCTCGAAAATAAATTTGGTGTGAGAATCGAGAACATGCAATTTGTAATTAGCAAAAAGAAAACAGAGAACGCCGAGTTCTACTCCTTCGAAGATTTAACTCTGTATCCGTATGAAAAAAAATTACTCGATTTTTCTCTACTGACGGCTCAAGAAATTAGAGACATCAATGAATACCACGACACCATTAGGAAGACCCTCCTCCCCAGGCTGAAGCAGAACCCCTCTGAATACGACCAGGGGGTAGTGAAGTACCTCATGCAAATCACCGAGCCGATTGCGATCAACTAGGGGGAAGCGGCAGGAGCTAGATCCAGAGCCGAAGCTTCGTCGGAACAGGAAATTTTTCGGAATGGTTTTCCCAAACATCCGTGTCCCTCGCCGCTGAGATTACTCCCTTTTCCATCTCGTCCTATTTTTTTTTTTTCTCTCTCTCTAATTCAAAGAAGTGCGTGTATAATTTTTTCTTATGTATCGGAAAACGTGAGCATATTTTTAAGGAGCATCCTTTGGCCAACAGCCACTGCTACTGCGCGAAAAAAAAAAACACATGCGCGATTACAAATGAACTGATCGACACAAGTGCCTTTTTAATATGCATTCACCTTTGAAATCTTACTTATGGAAGTTTTTTTTTTTTTTTATTTTATTACACGTGTCTGCATCTTAGACTTGTTGATTCTCTCCTTTCGTGCAAACTCATACTTAACTAAAAGGTAAAAACAAATGTGGGTTTCTTTCCCGCTGATCAAATATAAATGTATGAACATAAAATGGGTACGAAGTAGGCCAATGGGAGGTGGAATTCTCCCACTTTGCTACTCATCAGGTGGTGTTAATTAAGCATAAAACATATATGCGCCATTATGGGGACGAAAAAATGAGACCCGAAGTAGGCAAATATTTTTACGCTTCAACATATGGTTCCGCGAGAGGGTCCTTTATGTTATGTCTACAACAAATGTATTCCTTCACGAAGGGGGAGCTTTTATTTTTTTTTTCTCTTTAAAAAGGGGGCAGAGCAGCTGTAGATATTCGAGATGTGATGTGATCACATTTGGCTTTTTTTTTCCCGAATCGTTTTTCTTTCACTCGCTAGCGGAGCATCCATTTCAGGATAACAAATTTGAGAGATTATTATGAAGAAAATTTTCTCTTTTATGGTGAATGGTGAAGAGGATCTCCCCACTGTTGGGGTTCGCCGCGCTGAAAATGCTTTTTTTTGCGACGAATAGGGGTGTGTCTTTTATTCGTTTAAAACAATTCATATGCGTTGCGCCAAATTACATATGTTTGATCATATTTCTCATTATTTTTGTTCCTTCCCCCTTCCCACCCTTTTAACTATAACACGGCAAAATGATGTCATAATGTGGGTAATACAATCCACAGTTATGTAGACCTGCGCGGTCTCTTTTCGCGTTATTTTTATTTCCCTCCCCTTGCATGCCCATATAAACGCATTGATCAAATTTAACGAAGGGTTGATGCCTTTTTTCTTTTTTCCCTTTTACTCCATTTGACCCTTTCGACGAATACGATTTTATGTCACTTCGTACCATTTGGCGTCATGCACGGTAATACCACATCAAGTGATGAAACGTAATGCCATTTTATCGGAATTTCTTCTTTTTTCCTCTCCGAAGAAAGGCGGATTGAAATGCAGTCTTTTAATTTAGCGCGCACATTTTTCTGGCTTGGCATTTGTATTTTAATGACAAATTATTTACAAATACCAAATTGCCCTTAGAAGAAGCATGCTTTTGTTCAAAATTGACGTAATTTTAGTATTCCCAATTTGACTCCTCACGTTTTTCATTCTCTTTCTCTGTTGCCCAGCAAAGGGAAAAGTTACAATAAATATTTTTTTTTGTCCCAATTTCTTTTTTTTCTTTTTTTTCAACATCGGGATAATTTTTTTTTTTTTTTTTTTCTGGTGAATTAATTCGCGTTTATTTTTTGCCAGCAGTTCAATCGCTTATCTTACAATTACAAGAAAAAGAACTAAACAATTTGAAATTTTACAAAAATGCTATTTTTAAATCGTGAAGGAAAGATGCTTAACCCTTTTGTTTTTTTTTTTTAAGCCATCACCCAGCATTTATACGTTACTACATACATCATTACATAATGAACCCCATGTATGGGAAGAAGTGGTTGCTCCATGTCACTGGGCATTAGTTAAACCGGAAAAAAAAAAAAGAAAAAGAATTTCTTTCCCCCTTTTCCAGATAAGCAACATTTATCTCCATCTCAATTGCAGTTAAAACCAATTATGATGGCTACTTTCCTTTCGCTGCTTTGCAAAGGAAGAGGGACAGCCTTATCAGAGGCGGGAACAGGACCCCTGTGCTTACGGCGCGTAAATGGAAACATCCTGAAAAATGGTTGTTACCCATGTGCGGCCCGAAGCTACAGTGATAATGTAAAAGACCATTTTAATAAACCCAGAAATGTTGGCTCGTTCGATAAGAGTGAAAAAAATATTGGGACATCCATTGTAGGTAAAGCATCATGTGGTGATGTCATAAAATTGCAATTAAAAATCGAAGACAATGTGATTAAAGACGCGCGATTTATGGCCTTTGGATGTGGCTCCGCAATTGCTAGTAGCTCTTACGCCACTGAATTGATAAAGGGGAAGACCATCGACGAAGCGCTCAAAATTAAAAACAACGACATTGCTTCCCACTTGAGTTTACCTCCAGTTAAAATTCATTGCAGTTTATTAGCGGAAGACGCGATCAAGCACGCCATAAAAAATTACAGAGAAAAAGTGATAAATTGACTAACCGCTGAATGGTGTACTGCGTCAGTGTAACCCGTGGAAGGGCCAAACACATAGCTTGGTCGGTTATGACCTGTGAGGTAGACAGCACCTGGATGGTTTCATTCGTAATATGGGTCATTAGGGGGAGTTTCATGTTTTCCATTTTAGAAGACCCTTTTTCAATTCATTCCTGAAGCAGCTTTTACGTGTAACGCAGAAGACAGATGACAGCATATCACACCCAGCGAAGTGCGCGTCATCCACAAGTGCCATTTTTAAACAAGACATGTAAGACAAAACCCAACGGAGAGAGAAATGCCTCTGTGTATTTTTCTGCATATGAGGATGTGTGTCAACTGTGCACATTACAACTGAATGCTGTAATTGTTTTTTTTCTTTTTTCTTTTTTTTTTCCTCTTTTTCTCGTTATTTCGGTGCACAACAACACCATGAACGAATTCGTTTAGCCAATTCGCGAACACTCGCAGAATTGTACATTCCACTTTTTCCCCTCAAGCTCTTTCGCCGCTTCTTCCTTTTTCGAAATTTCAGCTCGGGGAACATTTCTAAACGAATTTTTTTTTTTTTTTTTTTTGTACAGAGTTTCGCTCTTGTTGCCCAGGCTGGAGTGCA